CGAACCCTGCTATTTGGTATCGGTGAGTACCTAAACTGAAGTACTCGTACTTGTACTCAGTCTTGAAAAAACTGGTATCGGGACACCACTATTTAAAATATTTCATGGTAAAAACAGAAGCTGCTCTTCATATTAGTGACAAACTTTTTTGATGAGTTACTTTCATTTTTGCTTCTACTTTTTATTTAAAATAAGCTTCCATTCTCTGCAGGTTTCTAAGGTTCTTCTTCTACATATTAAAAGTTGTTAAACATCTGAGTGGCGCACTACTGCTACTAGTGGTGAGAAAGTGTATTGCACCTTAATCAAAATCAATGTGGTCCCACGGCCCTCTGCGGCCCAAAGTTAAAAACTGTTGTTCTTTTGAGGCCCTCAAGGTGGCGCTCGCGGCCCACAGGTTAAGAATCTCTGCCCTAAKGGAAGATAATTTTGTCTAGTAAACATGGTTTAACTCTATGACTGGTTTATTTTGTAACAATGAAGGCTGCAGGTCTCTGGGTTTTGTTGTTTCATCGCGTTTTAGTTGTCAGATGTAATTTTTAGATGAGCTTTAAAAAATGCCCTGATGTTTCCTCAGAGCCAGAGAGGCGCTGCGTCAGTGTCTCCCCGACCAGCTGAAGGACAGCACCTTCGCCCAGGTGCTGAAGGACGACACCACCACCAAGCGCTGGCTCGCACAGCTGGTGAAAAACCTGCAGGAGGGCCAGGTGACCGACGCCAGAGGCATRCCACTCGCTCCACAGTGACGGAGGGGGGGCTCTGCGTGGACACAGACTGGCTGATCTGGGTTCCCCCACTATGGTGCTGTGACAGGATGAAATGGACAGTCTATTTGCTTTTATAACACTTTCCTGTTGAGGGGGCACGAGAAGTTTTGGGTTTGGCAGGGAGCTTTTTTTATTTTAAACTGTTGATAAAGTCAGGCTGGACTGGAAGGCATCACGTGTTTAAATTAAAAATGAAGATAAATAAAAAGGAGTACAATTTGCATAAATTCAGCCGAGAATTTATTCTTGTTTGCTACCAAAACTGTATTTTTTTTATGTTAACACACTGTTTTTGTTTTTATTTACAGCTGTAACTTTCTGCAACATTCCACCTCCAAACTGTTTTAGAACCCAAGTTCTGGAAAAGTTGGGGTGTTTGTGTAAAATGTAAATAAAAACAAAATGCAATGATTTTCAAATCTCATGAACTCATATTTCATTCATTACATAAACATATCAAATTGTGTCACGTGTAAGTAAAAAAAGATAATTTTGGACCTGATAGCAACATGTCTCTTTAAAGTTGTTCCACGTTTCTGTGAATAATCTCTTCTTAAAATTCAACATTTTCTCAATTTTCCATTAAAGAACTTCGTTCTGAAACTATTCCACTTTTTAAGACCGTTTTGCAGAGACTGATGAGGCACTAAGTTTAAAATGAAATGTAAAAAAAATCATAATTTTTCGTTATTTAACTCATTGTTCATACATTTAATTTTTACTGTTATGGATTAATTATGTATATCTGTTCTACCTTAACACTGTCTAGTAATCATATCTCATGATAACTAGTTTCGGCTGTTTTACTCTATCGGCCCAGACTTCAAGACTCCAGCAATGCATGACCTCTTTTATTCTGATAAGGTGTTTCCAGGCTGACAGCCCTGTTATTGGTTAGGTGGTTACAGTTGTCAAACTGTGATTGGTTGTAAGCATGTCACATGTTATTATCGGCTGCTCTACGCTGACGAGCCAGCCACAACTCGACAGACTTAGCTGATCGACCTCTGCTGTGTTGCTGCTCAGATTAAATCATTTGACGACCATACACGCAAACTTTCTGTGCATTTATTCCAACGTGTTTCTGCATTCTTGGTAAATCTTGCCACCACAGTTTTTTGGCGTTGTTGGCAGGATTTACCAAGAATGCAGAAACACGTTGGAATAAATGCACAGAAAGTTTGCGTGTATGGTCGTCAAGTGATTTAATCTGAGCAACAACAAAGRAGAGGTCGATCAGCGAAGTCTGTCGAGTTGTGGCTGGCTCCTCAGCGTAGAGCAGCCGATAATATAACATCATGTGACATGCTTACAACCAATCACAGTTCGACAACTGTAACCACCTGACCAATAACAGGGCTGTCAGCCTGGAAACACCTTATTAAAATAAGATAGGTCATTAATTGCTGGAGTCTTGAAGTCTGGGCCGATAGAGTAAAACAGCCGAAACTAGTTATCATGAGATATGATTACTGGACAGTGTCAAGGTAGAACAGATATACAGTGGTTTGCAAAAGTATTCATACCCCTTGAACTTTTC